CCCCCCCCCACTCCGGCGTATAAGACGACCCCCCACTTTTAATACCCTTTTCCAGGGTTAAAAAGTCATTTTATATGCCGGAAAATACGGTAGTTCCTCTTTCTATTTTTATCTTTGTACTTTTGTCTCCATTTATTAATAATTGAGCCTCTTGTTTTGTATAAATTGCCTTTAACCAATTTAGAAATGTCTCCCCATTCCCATTCGCTTCAGAATTTCAAAACTTGCTGCCCCAATATACCCTGTCAAATGCTTTTTCCATATCCAGAAATATTAATGCCAGTTGTCTATCCTTATTTTGGTTAAATAGTTCTATTAAATTCAGTACCATTCTTAGATTAGTTCTCAATTGTCTTTTTGGTAAAAAGCCATTTTGTTCTTCTCCTGTTCAATTTTGAAGGATTTTTAAAAAATCTTTCTGATAATATAGCCGAAAATATTTTATGATCTATATTAAGTAGGGAGATTGGTCTATAATTTTCCGCTAGTAATGGATCTTTTTCCTTTTTCAGAATTAATATAATGTTTGCCTCTCTCCATGATTTTGGAAATTTTCCTTTTATGTCATTCACAATTCTTTGTTAATTGTTCTTCAAATGTTTTATAATAAATGGCTGTAAACCCATCTGGACCAGGGGCTTTCCCCATTATAAATCCTTTTATTACATACTTTATTTCTTCTTTTGAAGAATTCTATTTGAAAGATTCTATTATCATCTGTAATAGGTTTAATTTCCACTTTGTCCAAAAAGTCTCCTTTACAACTCTCTTTGCTATTTTTAAAGTCATATATTTGGGAGTAATATTTATGGAATATTTCTTTTATTCTTTGTTGCTCAGTTATTATTTTTGCCTCCCTCTTAATTTTGTGATCAAATTCTTTTGTTTTTTCAACCTGGATGCCAACCATTTATCTGCTTTATTCGGATTTTCAAAATGGTACTGCTTTGTATGTTTCATGTTTTTTTTTCTATTTCATCAGTTAGGCACATCAAAATTCATTTTTGTAGAATACTTATTTCTTTTGTTAAAGCTGACTTATTTGGGTAATCACTTAATTCTTTTTCCTTTTTAAACATTTCTTCATTCTGTTAATCTTCTCTTCTTTTCTTTTTCCACATTATGTCTTTTGTTGAATAAAAAAACCTCTCATGACAGATTTACTTGTTTCCCAGACAATAATACTATTATTTCTTTCCCCAAGTTTTCCCAAAAATAATTTTCTAATGTTTTCCTTGCCTTTTCTTGGCAAGATTTGTTCGGAAGGGGCTTGCCTTTGCCTCCCTGTGATATTGAGAGTGTGTGACTTGCACAAGGTCACCCAGTGGGTTTCCGCAGCCAAGTAGGGATTTGAACCCTGATCTCCCAGAGTCCTAATCCAGTACTCAAACCATTAAATCACGCTGGCTCAGGACTCCTTTCATTATATTATCCCCAAATCCTTGACTTATGCATCACTGCATCACCCAGTGTTTTTCATGGCTTCCCTACCAACCTTACCTCACCTCTCCTGTGCTATTTCTTTTTCTGTGGCCACAAACTACCTGAGAAGTACGAGGGGGTGTTGTAAAGTTTTAATTATCGCTTTTTAAAAAGATTGACAGAAAGTTTGTTTTGATTTGTTAACTTTATCTCTACAAAGTTACCATGCAGATTTACACATTTCCCCCAGTGTTTCTTGACCCTCTGAATACCATTATTGTAGAAGTCTGCAGATTGCGCCTTAAACCACTCAAATCGGCGACCCCACAACAGATTTTTCATTTTTGGGAATAGAAAGTCACTTGGTGATGTTGACACTGATTCAAAATTTCATCAGTATACCATGATAACTTTTGTGTGATAATTATTACTTTACGATACCCCCTCGTAGTGTATAACACATGTTTTTCTTCCATGATATGAAGTGCAGATTGCGGAGAGGGGAGAGCATTTGCAAAATGAAAACGCTCTTGTCTCCTTTTGTTAAGGACTACATGATCAAATGGGCTGGAGATTTAAAACAATCTATTCAAATTGAAGCATGGGAGCTGATCTGGGGAAAAAAAGCTAAAATACACCCCTAATATGGGACTTAAGGAAAATATTTATAAATCTATGTACCGATGGTATTTAACCCCATACAAAATATCTAAAATTCATAAAGATCGAATCCCTCATGTTGGAAATGTTCCCTCTTATTTCTGTCTTCAGCCTGGGGGAGTAACAAATGCTTCATTTGGCTTATATTCTGGGCGAAAAATATTAGCAATCATGACTTTATTTTTCTGACATCTAGGTCCATGAGAAGGATGTCATTGGCATTGCTCATCATCCCCACCAGAATTTGATCGCTACCTACAGTGAAGATGGACTGCTGAAACTGTGGAAACCATAGAACTTATTTTGAATCCTTTTCCATGCATGGTTTTTGAATACAAGGAAAGTATGTGTCATCTTGTTTTTCCCCCAATTTGTTTCAAGTCCAAAAGTGTTATTTTATTCCTTAACAATTTCATATAGGCGCCCCTAGTGTGAAGCATGTTACTTTTCAGACAAATGTAGTATTATTTAGTGTCTTAAGTCACTAGTTATGTGGCCAAGAAGTAATACAAACCATTCAGCTTCAAAAAACTTCCTGTAGAATACATTTCCTTTTAATGTTTATTGGGAATTTTTTCATAATTCATTGTGTGTAATTAAATTAAAATGGAGATACATCTGGCTAAAAAAGCAAAATGAAGGAAAGCAAACCCAGAACTTTACCCTCCTAAAATAATTGCATTCTCTGACTTTTAACAGCCTTTTTTTTAAAAAACATTTTCAAGTACATTGTATTTAAAACAGCTATGTTCTAGCTAAAGCTAAACAGCTGCAAATCCCAATAATTTCAGTGGAAATGCTAAGCACAAAATTAAATATTGCTTTGCTGAAAGGGCTTGGGACTGCAAACACTTTTCATACTGATGTGCGACGCCCAATTGTTAAACCTTTTGAGCTCTCCCAAAAGAATCTTTGGCAAGATTTATGTGGCTCTTTTTGCTCTGGGCAAAATACATGACTTTTTGTCTCCTATAGGCAGAATATTGATTTACAGAAAATATAGTCATGAACTTTTCTTGCTTTTTAAATGACATCCTTTAACTTCTGACAGCCCCTTAGTGCAAAAGTTAAAAGTTTCATCTAGCTGACTTTGAAAATGTGTTCATCTCTGATCAAACTCTTTTCGAGTTATTATTAATCTTATAGTTCAGGGTGGTCATTTGTTCAGCTGGTTTTGTGCAGCTTTTTATTTGGATTCTTTAGTTTGGTCCTTTTTTTAAATGGTCTCTTCTACAATAAAAACCTCATTTGTTATAAAGACATCTGGCACATTCGAAATTCATTTATTTTTTTTAAAAAAATATGGTATTCAGCCTGTAAATGACAAAACACCATCATTCTTAGGGCTGGAAAATAAAAACCAACATTATGGATGGAGATGCATTTGTGAAGCATCAGTGCTCTTACGGGTATCAAGCAGTAGCCACTGACAACTCTGATGTAGAAATATGGATGCCAAAACTGTGTATGATACCAATTATATAAAATGAACAAATTTTCCTTATAGACATGAAATGACTGTTTCCTTTTCTGTAACAATATAGTTACTTTTTTCTTTGTAAAATAAGTGGACATCGACACTGAACATACTAACCTACCATTTTATATGTTCTTCCACCAAAATTATGGTACCCTACAGTGGGTGTCTCCAACAGAATATATGACTTTTCCCGAATATCAAACAGACCAATATAAATTAAGTCGATCATTACTGGAACTAGATTATGCCACTGTTTTGCATGCAGATTGTAGGTAGTAGTGTGACTTCAGGATCATGGAAATCACTTTGGGGTTCACTAGATGTGTAACTGCTGTTTTGGAGAGGCCTGGGGAAACTTAATAGAAATCCCTACACAGCCATGTATCAGTCTACCATTTACTGCATTTATCCTGGTAACTAGAAGCTTGAAAAGCAAATTCCCCATCTGGAGTGTTATACAGTCAGCCCTCCATATCCACAATTTTTTTAATCCATGGATTCAAGCATCTATGGCTTGAAAATATTTTTAAAATATATAAATTGCATAAAGCAAGCCTTGATTTTGCCATTTTCTGTAACGCCATTGTATTTAATATGACTCGAGCATCCACAGGGAGGTCCAGGAACCAAACCCCAGCAAATACTAAAGACTTACTGTACTAAAGGACCCAAGAACATGCTGCAAAGCATTATTCGTATTGTCACTCTTTTCTTTCACAAACATCTTGCTGTTGTGTAATAGAAATGGGTGCTTGTCTCCAGGACCAGATAAACTTTCATCTAGTGCCAATAGCATTTCTTTTTATAAAGAATTAGCAGAGCTCAGTGATATGAGATTTGCAGATTTGATTTTTGACATAATGCCAGTTGACTTACTGTGCTAATTAATATAAACCATTGTGGCTAATTATACATGTCCTTAACTGTGCTCCTGTTCTGGAGTGACCTTTCCACATTAAAACATTCCCACGTTCTTAGGGAAGTAGCAACTTCTGTGATCTGAATTTTATCTGGGAATTGCTTGAGTATACAGGAGAAATTGGCTTTGACCCAAGTACAAACTGATTAGCATAAATTAAACAAGAGAAAAAAATGTGAAAGAAGCTGTGCGATAATCATAGGGTTGGTTTTTTTACATGCTGTCAGAATTCTCTGCTTTGCCAAAAGCCAGTCCAAATGCAGTGAAATCTAGTATTTTAAAAGTTTTCTTCACTCAAAATACTTTGGTATTTAAAAGAGCACGTGTGCACTGTATGATAAAATTACATTTTAGCACTTTGAATAAGCATTCCTCCCACCCAGTAATTTGGGTGTGAAAGAAGTGAAAGTTAACTAATCTGTTTGTTTTAAACTGCCCTGGTGAAACACATCAAAGTGGTCTGCGAAGTTGGTCTGATTAGCTAAACCACAAGGTAAACTTCATCAGCATTTTGGGGTTTGAATGCAAGCCAAAGTTTCTAACCACATTATCTGTTGGGTGGAGAGACACAGCAGTTACTGCCAGCAAACTAAGATATTTTAAACTGTGTTAACATACCTTAAATGGCTTGTCAAAAAGCAAGGACAGATGAAGCTGTCAGAAGAGTGTTTATTTGCCCCCATGGGTTGAAACTCATGTTTGAAGTACAATATGCAAGCATTTGTCAAATCACATTCTTGATTCTGCTGAATCATCCTTATCACAAGGACCATAATAAACTGCTATACAACTTAAAACCCTGGGGAGAAGCCATAGGTTAAAGCCTCAAATGGACAAGACCTGTGCTGAAATGGCAGAGCACTCGAGTGCCGTATTGGTTAGCCCATTTGCTCTATATGCATAGCATAAGTGCTACATCTGGGCTTGCCTAACAAATATTAACATGGAATCTTTAGAAAAAGGTCAAGTGTCACCTTAAGTACATTTTTAGTCCTATAAGAGGCACTTGAATAAGTTATTAAGCCTTCCTGCAATCACGGAGGTCCAGCTTGGAAATGAAAACAATACAAAACACTTTGAAATGGCCAATGGTCGAGGTAGCCCTTTTCAAGAACTAAGGGGACACACACAACCCCTAAAATTATTGTGACTAATTTATTTGTGAGTCACGCCATTTTAGAAAGGGGCTTTCTGCAGCTATTCATGTAATCCAAGAAACTCAATGAGGATCACTGAAACCTACTTAAATAAGCTCAAATAGTCAAGACTTCCACCAAATGTACAATAGTTTTGTACCTTTACTAATATGTTACTTCTCAGTTGCATGACTGTCAGTTTTAAAATGCAAAGTTTCCTATTCACAAATTTTTCATATTTAGTTCTCATCTTACATGAGCTCTATTACAGGTTGCATTTTTAATTCCTTACCAATTAGCTATGCTAGGATCCTGCATAACATTAACAGAGGAAATTTGCACAGTATTCTAGCTAAAACTAGGGGTGGGATGGGATGGGACAGGGCTCTACTCTCCAGGTGAGGACAGTACAGTGCCATGCAGGTGCCTTGTCAAGTCTCAACCAGCCACAGTACATCCAAAGCACACCAATGTATCTAGAAGCTGATGAATACAAAACTTTTAATTTCACATTTTAAACATGAATCATAAATACATGTGCATACTTAAGAGGAATATAATTTATAATACTAAACAGAAATCACTGAATACTAAGCCAGTGCATCTGCACACAATACACGTTATGATGCACAAAATAAAAAAGGCCAGAGCAAATTGGCTTCTGGTTTCCTTAGGAGGCCATATGGAAATAGGAACATCATTCCAACTTGATTGAAGTGTAGTTTACTGATTTTAAGTTTGTTAACTTGATTTAAAAACAACTATGTTTAAATATTATAGGGACAATGGCA